CACAACTGAGCTGAACGTGAATGGATTTATCTAAAACTTGGAAGAATGTCTTCCCAAACGTGTATCACATTGTATGAAAATATTCAATTTGGCTAACTATGCTGGAAGCTAACTGGGCTAACTATCCCTTAGCCAATTCAAGTTTCAAATCGGGTATTTTACGTGCGCACTGCGCAACCCCATGTACATATAGAACAAAGTGATTGGGTGGTTTGTTTGTGATCAAAGTGTCTGTGATATAACGTAATCAAACTCATCGAGATCGAAGCCAGTGATTGTACTGTGATTGAACTATGATCAATACATGATATGTGTTAAACATGATATTTCTTAATTACTATTTGCATTATTAGCAGTCACGTTTTATTGCACCGACTGGCAGACATCACTGTTTTATTTATTGTACATAATTTCGGATCCCTCGTACCGCGCGTTCACAATGCGTATCCTGCCCATAGCGTATCTGACATCTCATGGTTACACGATACTATCCGAAATGGTCATCGCATGCCATCCGTTTGACTTCATCATGAATTTTGGTTCAAAGTATGTATAAGCAGACGATATACCATTACATTGCAGCCTAGACATAGAAATACACCAGAGGGTAAACTGAAACAGTAGCGTATATTTAACTCGGGGTAATTTTACTCCAAGCCTTTTCAGTCATAGAATTATCTTTTTGAGTTTTTGTTTCAACGAGAATTATAATGTGATTTATTTTTACTCCTTCAACTTTTTTTACTCTGGTGTATTTATGCTATTTACTTTTTTTACACTCAGAAGCAGGGGGTGAAATCCGATTTGATATTATTACACTGGGAGTGCAATATTACTCTCGTAAATCGCATGCTTTATTCGCCTTTACTCCCCTACACCGGGGGTGTAAAATAATTCCTTAGGGTTGGACTTTTAGGCACCGTACTTTTACTCCAGAGTGGGTGTATTTTTAAGCTCATGGGAGTTATTTGACAACACCCGGTGGTAAAAATAGTCGCTAATCGCCCATGTTAAAGCAGTTTACACGGGGGAGTAGAATGATCACTTAGGGTTGGAGATTTAGGCACCGTAAAATTATTCCAATTTTGGGTGTACTTTTCTTTCAGTGTAGGGGGGGGGGGGGGCACGGCACTGCCGACTTTTAGTCCCATTCCTTCCATGCAACGCCCATAGGGCTACTGTTAACCCGCGCCCCGCTGGGCTATTCAGCCATACGCGCCCTGCTGGGGGGGGGGGGGCAGATTCTGCCCCCCCCCTGTCTAACTTCCGAACCGATGGTCGTAGAAAGACGGGGAAAACGGCAATCGAAAGCTCTCAACAAGGCGGATCTTCAGAGCCCAAATTTTTTTTGCTTAACCCGCGCCCCGCTGGGCTTTTCAGCCATACGCGCCCTGCTGGGGGGGGGGGGCAGATTCTGCCCCCCCCTGTCTAACTTCTGAACCGATGGTCGTAGAAAGACGGGGAAAACGGCAATCGAAAGCTCTCAACGAGGCGAATCTTAAGAGCCCAATTTTTTTTTGCTTAAGTAGGTCAGTGGTCAGGTCAAGGTCAGGTCAAGGGTATAAAATGCAAGTTTCTACAGTATCGGCCTTGCACCGTACCTAGTTGCCGAAGAATGGACTGATACTGATTGCCCAAAACGTGTTCTTAGACTACCAAGACAATATTCGTTGCCTACAATGTCATTCAAAGGTCAAGGTCAAGGTCAGGTCAGGTCAGGTCAGGTCACCAAAAACAAAATATAGAAAAGGGCATGTGCGACACATGTTTTATGGGTCATTTTACTCATAGAATTCAATAGGCACACTCAATAAGTGATATGGACCACCTCTGGATGAATTTCAGGTCGAGGTCAGGTCAAGGTCAGGTCAAGTGAGGTCAAATTTTGAAGTTGGTTGTTAAGGCCTAAATGGTGTCTTTCTGATGCAGTTTTTCACGGCGAATCGAATGGTGCTATTTTAGTTTCCGTACGAGGTCTCGAACTTCTAAAAGTCATTTTTCAAAATTTTTGTGTGTCGTGACGTCATACAATTTTGAATAACTCCCACATTTTTGAACCGATTCTTCTAAAAATTGGTATGTAGGTGCACATAGACCACTTCTCTGACATATAATCCGGTTTTTTCGATACACTCAAAATTTTGGATTTTATAATTATTTTCCCAAAAAAGTCAGTTTTTTGAAGAAAAAAAATTGGGCCAAAATCAAACATTTTCAAAAAACCGAGATAGCCATTTGATAGGCAAAGTAAAATCACGTATAACTTTTTTTTACGTCTTGATTCCTTTAAAAATGAAGATGTTAGCGGCGTTTGAAAATTTGCCGTTTTTGAGGCGAAAATTGCGAACATGACGTCACTAAAACGTCAATTTCTCAAACATTTTCCGACGGATTTCGCTCAATTTTTTTTCAGGGAACGTGTCAAATTGATGTATGATAAGGTACTGAAAGTTTGACGTCGCTGGCGTAACGCGTTTAGAAGTTATTGGCGAAAAACGGGAGGGGGGCAGATTCTGCCCCCCCCCCCAGGCGGGGCGCGGGTTAAAGGAAATAATTCACTTTTAACATGGGATTTTGACCTGGAATAGCAGTTTCGTAGCTTGAGCTGAGACTAGCACAAATCAGGAGCTTTTACGGCTCAACGATTACCCTAGACGAAGATATTCCATTTCTCGTTCCGAAAAGAGTGCCTTGCAGAGGAATGCGTGCCTTGCACAGGAATGCAGCCACGTCATCGTCAGCCAATCAGCATGCTGCTTACAGCCAATGCAGTATGCGTAGGTTTGAACTACGCAATATGATTGGTCAACGCGTAATAAGCTTCCGCACCAAACATTGTTTTACATAGAATATAGTTGATCCTATATTAAAATATAGAAAATAATTGTTTTTACAAAAAGGTTTTATTTTATTTCATGATCATTTTGAGCATAAAAAATCATAAATCAATAGCAAAATACTAATTTCAGGAAAGTGAACTGTTTCCTTTAACCCTAGAACGCCTAGGGGGGGGGGGTTGTATCAACCCCCCCCCCTGAGGTTTTTTCGAAGTGCACGCTAAACGGCTTGTCGTAGCGGGCTGAAATTTTCAATGCCCTCTGGGGCAACCTTTGCGCATCTTTTGCCGAAAAAAATTGATCGGGTCATGTCAGGTCACGGAGTTATGACGTCATAAGAGGTACAGCCTCCGGCCGGATTTTCACAAACTGAGTGCCAACGCCCGAGGTTTCCTGCCGGTGGTACGGACATCGGTTGATGGATCGTGATGAAACTTCCCATGCATGTTGGGGCAAGTATTGGCTATCATATGGTATAAGAAATTTGACCGGGTCAGGTCAGGTCACGGAGCTATGACGTCACAAGAGGAACAGCGTCCGGTACTATTTTTGAAAAGCGCCCGAACCACTATTTTGCTAATTCTTGTCACCTCAATGGGAATATGCAGCAATATTAGCTTCTATAGGGAGGAAATGGACCTCCCAAATCCAAAAATACAATCAGATTTCAAAAATTTAAATTTTGATTTTTCGAATTTCTGCCGCCGACTGTGACCTTACCGACTTCCGGCGGTCCCAACGCGCCATTTTTAGAGCTAGGGAAACGAAATACATACCAAACGATAGAGAATTGATCAAGGAACACGATAGTGAAGGTTTCAAGTCGATATCTCCCACCGTTTTGCCGCAATCGCCGCCGAAAGTTGAAAAAAGTCTATTTTTCCGAAAATTTGACCTTTGACCGGTCAAAAGTAGGTCAAATGTTGACCTAGGACCAAAAATATACCACCAATCGCGAGATCTCGTTGAGAGCAATCCGTTGGTTTTTTCCGCTAAGCTCTACGACCTTCCGTTTCGAAACGCCAGGGGGGGGTCGTAACAACCCCCCCCCTGGTCGTTCGTGTTATGAGAAATGGCCTGGTCGTGCGAGGGTTAAAAGGCCAAAATTAAAGAGGGGAACGGTGCCCCGGTGCCCCCCCCCCGTTCCGCCGCCTATGCCGGCGAGGGTACAAGAGATTATATTGTCATTCATCGACCGCGAAAAAAAAGAATGTCCGGGACACAAATGATATGGAATGTTACAATTCTCGGCTCCCAAATACAATAGCTTCACCTGACAGACCTCATCTACCTGACTTCAAAAGTTTCGATCATCCATTCCATGCATTGAATTCGTCAATCACTTGATGGTCTGATATTTCTTCATGGTTTTATTGAACCACATTTGTGGACGAATGTTTGCGGAGACGAAGATAGCGCAGACAAAGGTTTGCGGACGAAAATATGCGCAGACAAAGATTTGCGGACGAAGATTTACGTGGACGAAGAAATACGTGGACGAAAAATGCGGACGAAGATTTGCGGACGAAGATTTGCGGACGAAGATTTGCGGACGAAGATTTGCGGACGAAGATTTGTGGACGAAGATTTGCGGACGAAGATTTGCCGGGACGAAGATTTGCGTGGACGAAGAAATGCGGACGAAGATTTGCGTAGACGAAGAAATGCGTGGACGAAAAAATGCGGACGAAGATTTGCGGACGAAGATTTGCGGGGACGAAGATTTGCGGACGAAGATATGCGCAGACGAAAATTTGCGTGGACGAAGAAATGCGGACGAAGATTTGCGTAGACGAAGAAATGCGTGGACGAAAAAATGCTTGACGAAGAAATGCGCGTACGAAGAAATGCGGATACGAAAAAATGCGCTACGAATATTTGCGCTTACGAAGAAATGCGAGACGAAGTTATGCGACACGAATAAATGCGCCGACGAAGATTTGCGGACGAAGAAATGCGGACGAGGAATTGCGCGACGAAGAATTGCCATACGAAAATTTGTCCGGTTACGCAAGGATTGTTTGTGTTACTGATCCTAGTTTTCTTCTTGCCGCATCCAGCTTGGATTTTGTCTCCGTTTAATATTTGCTAATTTTGAAGTAAATTGAAATAAAATAACTGTCAAAACAGTACCTAAACACATAAAAAACATCACACGCTCACACTCGGCGAGACGACACGACACAACTTGCGCCGAATGAATTCTTCGCCAAGGTTGTCGATTACGCGGGCCACGCAAAGAAGGTAAGGATGCAGCAAAATTTGGCAACAGATACATTGTGCAATATTTTTCCTTACTGTTTCAAATTTGTTGCATGATATGCGCAATGCGTTTGAATTTATCTAAAAATGCTCAAAATGAAATACAATGAATTTGTTTTATTCATTGGCTTTATCAAGATTATACCTACTTTACGCAAGGGCCAAATCACCGACATTTTTAACCTACCGATGGCCGATGGGTTTTCCAAAAAGATGCTTTTTGAATCGTATTCCAAATGTTTTTTTTGTTGGACTTCGAGACATTTATTGAACGGATGAATAACACTTTTTATGCACTGGTATTTTCATTTAGAAATTTGTCGAAACGTTATCAAAGGCTATGATTTAATGCTGCAGTGATTTATACAGCCCCAAGACGCTCGTAAACATTGCTAGCGAACAGACTCTGATCATGATGCGCATTGCGCAGTCATTGGGCCTGTTCCAGCGCCTACAGAAACCTCCAGAAACCTCCAGAAAGCTCAAGAATCCTCCAGAGAACGTTCCAGCGCCTCCAGAAAACTCCAGAAAGCTCTGGCAAAAGCTCCAGAAACCTCCAGTAGCCTCCAGAGAGTTGGGAGGCTCAAATTTCTCTGGAGGCTCTAGTCTACAATTATGGCGCACAAGTGACAATCACGAATGTAAACAAAGGACTTTTGACTGATTATTTTACAACTTGAATGTAAAGAAAATTACATTGCTATAATTTTGTTTATCAATTGAAAACAAATTTTGCGTTTCGGAGGGGAGATTCGGAGGGAGATTCGGTGTCGGGATTCCGTCGGGATCGGACGTGCCCATCGAGCTCCTCCTTACTGCCTGGCTAGTCAGCTGATTGGTGCCGGGCCATAACTCGATTGGTCGACGCCAAGCAGTTTCTCACTTTTCCTGGTTTTCTTTCCTGGTCTTTGCTATTTCCTAATCCACGGATCACATCTTCGTAAACAAAAACAACAAGAGTAAAGAAAATCAAGAAATGCCGTTAGAACGATCGCCGGTACTTTCCCGCCGAAACCAAGGAGGGACGCCAGCTGACCGCAATCAGCCTCAAGACGCTAGCGTCGGGAACGGTTTCAAAAATGCGACCGGAGTCTCCGAGAAAAGCAAGGAAAAAAGTCGCGACGGGGAAAGCGGTGGAACCAGGGCTTTAGCTATCGGTGGCTGTGGTGATGGTGGCGGTAGCGAAGGAGGGAGCGACGAGCACCATAAACAGGGAAGCGTGGCGGCGGTCGGCGAGAAAGACATCGATTCAGGTATGGAACAAACCTCGACGAAGCAAACCAAGGTGGGTAAACTCAATCAAAGCGTCTACAAAGCTTTTGAGCAGGAATCTGGCGGTACCCTATCACGCTCCTCAAGCGACACGAGCAGCACAGAGGCAATCTGTACTGGTGGCCCTGACAAGGTATGTGGAAACCCTGTGAAAAATGGCGAACCTGGGGTCTGCTGTGATAGGTGTCACGAATGGTTTCATCCCAGCTGCCAAGGGATTCCAAAAGCTGCTTCTAGAGCTCTTGAGAGATTTCAGGCCCTCGCTTGGCTTTGCATGACATGCAAGACAGATTTAAAGGGTGGAAAGGAAAAATCTCTCCTTTTGCAACTGCGGTCCACTGAGAACAGGCTGCGGCAGCTCGAAGATGCAGCTAAGAGAAACTCGGAGCTTTTCCTGACCTCAGTCAAGTCTCACGAGAAATCGATTAAGGACCATGCATCCCTGCTTGAAAAATCACTCAAATCCATTGAGTCGCAGACAGTCAAGCAGTCTCAGTTGCTTGAACTTACAACCCAGCAACACAAGGTCTCTTATGCTGAAGCAGTAAAAAGTACTTGCTCTGAGGTGGCTCAGGTGGTGAAAACTCAATTTGCCCAGCTTCCAAAATCCGGCCAACACGAAGAGCGCAAGGCTACAATGGATCTTTCCAAGGTCCTTGACAACCATCTCGACAAAGAGAGAAGGAAAGCGAACCTTGTTGTTCACAACCTTCCCGAGCAGGTAGAAGGCACCTTCTACGAGAGGTCTGTAAAAGACCTGTCCCTGTTCACTGAGATAGTCAAGAATGAGATGAAGATAAACGTAAGGGCATCAAAGTCGTTCAGAGTTGGTAAGGCAGTGCCCGGGAAACCACGACTACTGATAGTAACTCTGGATAACCCAGCTTGTAGACATGATGTACTTAGGTGTGCTCCGCAGCTGCGCCACTCTGTGCAGTACCCCAACATCTACATCACGCCTGATCTGACTCAGCAGGAGAGAGAGGTGAACAGGAAGCTCAGAGATGAGCTCACATCAAGACGTAGAGCAGGTTAAACAAACCTGAAGATCAAGGGAGGCAAAATCATCTGCCTAACCCAGCCACCAAATGAAAACAGCAAAGCACCAGGCAAGAGCAGTGTGTCTGGTGGCACCTCAGTGTCCTCTCAGTCCAGGGAGTCAGAGTCTAGAAGCATGTCCCCGACAGTGTCCCTGCTCAGCCAGCCCCTGCCGCTCCTCAAATTATTGGGGCTACACCCGCAGCCCTTGATAACAACGAGGGTCAGGGTCGCGCAGGTCTGCCTGGTGCAGTACGGGAATCTGGTGGCACCTCTGGCACTGAAGGCCACTCAGCCCAACCAGAAAATGCTGCCCCTGGCTTTTGACTAAGTCACCCAAGGCAGCGCATCAAGGGTCTGACAGTTCTGTATACAAATGCCGACCAGTTCACCACCAAACGGGACGACCTCTGCATGCTAATCTGCAATGATGAACCAGACATTATTCTCATCTCTGAAGTGATTCCCAAGGCCCAAAAAAATCCAATAGCCCCTGCACTGCTCCACCTCCCTGGATATACTATGCACCCTAGCTTTGCACCATCTACACCCAACTTGGGTACTAGCGGCATGAGAGGTGTATGCATTTTCACATCTGAAAAACTAAGTGTGTCTGAAGTCTTTCTAGAACACTCATCAGTGGAGCACGCCTGGGTGAGTTTATCACTCACTGGAAGCGATCGCCTTCTGTTGGGATGCATCTATAGAAGTCCTTCTGGTTCTCCAGAAGAAAGTATGCAGCACCTTGAGGGTCTGTTTCGGCAGGCATGCCTGTTGCCATTCTCCCACCTCCTCATCGTCGGCGACTTTAACTTCCCTTACATTGACTGGGAATCAGAAACCGCACCAGCTCAGCACATCTCACACTCCTTCCTGGACCTGATCCATGACTGCCTCCTCTTTCAGCATATAAAGCACCCAACTCGATATCGATTGGGAGAGACCCCATCTGTCCTTGACCTAGTCTTTACCAATGAGGAGGGTATGGTCACTAGCCTCCAGTACCAGCCTGCGTTAGGAAATAGCGACCACCTGGTCATCCGGTTCACCCTCTCTTGTTACACAGATACCGCTACTTCACTCCCTCAGTGTCGCACGATCACTGACTTTGCGCAACTATCCGCTGAGCTGGGTGCCCGAGACTGGTCAGAGCTTGATAACATGAATTTGGATGATGCATACGCAACATTCAAGGCACGGCTATCCGAGGCTGTGTCACAAGCCTCCACAAGAAGAAAGATCCGCCCCAAGAAAAACATCTACATGGACAGAAAAGCAATGCAGCTGCGAAAGAAAAAGAAGTTACTCTGGGGTGAATATCGACGAACGCTAGACCCAATTGACCACGCCAGGTTCGTACGCTGTAGGAATGAGCTAAGGAAACTCACAAGAAATTTGCGAAAGCAATACGAATCCAGCCTGGCGGGTAAACTAAAGGAAAATCCCAAAGCCTTCTGGAGATACGCTAGCACAAGACTCCGTACCAAGAGCAGAGTTGAAGACCTAGTCAACGAACATGGAGCGCTAGCATCCTGCAACCAAGAAAAGGCTAACATCTTGGGAAGGTACTTCAGTGGCATTTTCACCCACGAAGCCAACGAACCAGAGCCAGAACTTAACGTGCGGTGGGATGGACCTGTCCTCGAAGACATCGACGTTTCTGCGCAAAAAGTGGAGGCAAAACTGACTTCCCTCAGACCAAACAGCTCTCCAGGACCCGACTCCATACAGCCTCGAGTCCTCCGCGAATCTGCAAGGACCCTCGCGATGCCCCTGAGCACACTATTCAGGAAGTCACTGGATGCTGGAGCCCTCCCCCCAGAATGGAAGACCGGAGAGATCACCCCTATCTTCAAGAAAGGAGACCGTCAGAACCCCTCGAGTTACAGACCTATAACACTAACGGCCATCCCCGTCAAAGTCCTGGAGTCAATCGTCCGAGACGCCCTCCTCCAGCATATGTGCACAAATGATCTGCTTGACAGCGCCCAGCACGGGTTCCTCCCAAAGAGGTCCTGCACTACCCAGCTGATGGAAGCGATGGAAGATTGGAGCTGTGCTCTCGAAAATGGCGAGGCCATTGACATCATCTACTTGGACTTTGCTAAGGCCTTCGATTCCGTGCCGCACAAACGATTGATACACAAGCTGTACGCCTATGGTGTCAGAGGAGCCCTTCTCAATTGGATTGCGGCCTTTCTGGTCGGTCGTCGACAGAGGGTCGTGGTCCAGGGAAGTAAGTCCCCTTGGGCACCGGTGACGAGCGGAATTCCCCAGGGATCGGTCCTCGGACCTGTGCTGTTCACTATCTTCGTCAACGACCTGCCCTTGGAAGTGTCTGGCTCAGTCAAGCTTTTCGCAGATGACACTAAGCTTTATCGACAAGTGCCCGGTACCGGCACAAGCCTCCAAAGCGACATCGACGCACTCGTCCGATGGTCCGAAAAATGGCTTCTTCCATTCAATGCCCAGAAATGTAAGGCAATGCATCTCGGCCTGCGAAACCCGGCCCTGACGTACACCCTGAGTGGCATTCCGATACAAGAGACAGAGGAGGAGAAAGACCTTGGCATCTTCATAGACTGCCAGCTCAACTTCCACAAGCAGACTGCCGCAGCCATCGCGAAGGCTTCCCAGATACTGGCCGTTGTGAGGCGCTCATTCGCTAACATCGATGAGTTCACACTGCCACTGTTATATAAGACGATGGTTCGCCCCCTCCTGGAATACGGAAACACCATCTGGGGTCCCTTCGGAAAGGTCGACCAGAAGAAGCTGGAACGCGTGCAACGGCGTGCCACAAAGATGGTCACCGCGATCAGGCACCTCCCGTACACTGAACGGCTCCGTCGGTTGGGATTGCCATCCCTACACTACCGGAGACGTAGAGGCGACATGGTGACGGTGTACCAGCTGTTCCACGGCGGTTTGGCAATTCCACCTGAAGTCTTCCTGACGCGGAGTGACTCTGGTCGTACCAGGGGCCACGACTGGAAACTTAAGAAGCCCAGGGCCTCGAAACTGGTGCGCAGAAACTCATTCAGCATTAGAGTCATCAACGACTGGAACTCATTGCCGAACGCAGTGGTGGCGGCCCAGTCCGTGAACCAGTTCAAGGCTCTCCTGGATAAACACTGGGGCGACTCGATGTTCGACATCCCAACCCCCTAAGAGCCCAGCCTGTATCCTGTCACGAGCTCGATGTGAGCGGGATCCCCAGGCCAAGTGGCCTTTTAAATCCCGATTACCGCAAAGGAAGGAAGGATGTTTCAAGAGAGAACAATCGTCATTCTTTTGGTATCTGTGATGCCAATCTCCAGAAATCTCCAGATTGCGTTCCAACGCCTCCAGTGAAACCTCTGGTAGAGCCTCCAGTCAAGAATTTCTACTGGAGGCGGTGGAATAGGCCCATTACCTTTTGCCACTGAACTCCCAAGGCTCTATTTTTGCACACGGCAACCCAAGGCTGTATAAACCCGGCAACCCAACGGCAACAGTGCTTGTTTATTATTGCCTGCTGTCAGCTGTGGGCGTTGGCCTGTTGCTGAGGGCGTTGTGGGCGTTGTTCTATCTATCGGTAAGAATCTTGGTTCTATCAATAATAGGTATCAAACCAGACATTGACATGGGATTGGTCGAATCAAATTATCAAAACCAAGCTTACCTAATCTATAACATTTCGCTCAAGTGCCGGAGCGGTGCGTTTTGTGTTGTAACAGTGCAAAGATAAAGGTGCAAATTTGCGGGCTACCCACGTGATTGATGGGACCACGAGCACTGGCAGTCCATCCTGACCATCGCACACTCATTTAGACCAGAGAGCACACTGAACTACTTAACTGATGTGAAACTTTGAAGCTCCAACAGTTTTTTTCGATGTTCTTCATCTATCTTGTTTGGTCTGTTATGTTCGTCAATAAGCCAATTCCGGACCGCACTTCATTAAATTCGCACCATACCAGGCCAAATCCGCACCGCACCACACCAAATCCGCACCAGCTGAACAAGCCCGCACTGACAAGATCTCGTCGAAATTGCCATACTTTGCAGACCGCAGACTCTACTTACTTTAGAGGCTGTGAAAATGCAAAAAGGACAGTTAAAACATGGCTGTTGATTTTCTCCATGACTGTATGGAACGATGAGCAGCTACTTGAAAATTGGCATTCGCCAGCTAACCTGTGCCGTCAAGGGCGCCATTAATTCTAAAAAGATGAGGCTTTCTCAGAGGCTCTTATTACCCCTCTCCAAAGGGCACCATTACCCCTAACGGGGTCATGCCTCACCATTTGCGGACCCCTGTTATAGGTACCCAACAGTGAAAGACATTCCCAGGATCCGGTGTCTCCTGGACGACCCTCGCCTGTCAGTAGCGGTGGAACGCCTTCAGTTAAGGGGGGGGGGGGGGGGGTACTGCCGACCTTTGGTCCCATTCTTTCCGTGCAACGCCCATAGGGCTAATGTTAAAATGTCAAAATCAAAGGGGGGCACGGTGCCCCGGTGCCCTCCCCGTTCCGCCGCCTATATCGTCTGGCCAATGCCATTCGAGATGGGCTGGGTCGCGGCTATCGATACAGAATCGGCCGGACGACATAGAATCTCTGTCGTCCCGGAGACACTAAATCTGGCTATCATCATCACGTGCAAGTGGCTATTCATCTTAAATGACTGTCAAGTGCATAGGCGGTGGAACGGGGAGGGCACCGGGGCACCGTGCCCCCGCTTTGTTTTAGGCATTTTAACATTAGCCCTATGGGCATTGCATGGAAAGAATGGGACCAAAAGTCGGCAGTGCCCCTCCCCCCGCCCCCTTAATTGAAGGTGTTCCGCCGCTACTGGTCAAGTGAATATTGATGTGTGGTTGTGAGGATACATACCCTGCATAGCTGAAAAGTGTAACAGATCAGGGCTTCACTTCATTCATATCTATAACTTACTTCAAATTGCTGGCAAGTGGCAGCTTTAGAAATGTGATGCTGGATGCTTCAGGGGGTGTACTTCAAAGAAGTTTCGCCCAACACCTAACACTTAAAGGAAAAGGGCCACCTTTAACATGGGGATTGAAACTGAGATAGCCATCTTGTATCCCGTGTCCGAAAACCTATTTGTCTACCTCCTTACGACCGATTTCGGCCTCCATTCGTAGTTATCGGCAATTTTAAAAGAAAATACGCCAGGAATGCGTCCTTATCCCAGGAATGCGTTCTTATCCGACAATACAGCCACCCGCGGCGAGGCTTTGGTTTTTTACCAATCAGCTCCAACCAGCTCAGCTTTAACCAATCAGCTTATCTGACACAATCCGACGAGTCTGTCTTCTGAACGCTGATTGGCTTGAGTGTGACGTCATCGCTATGCCATCATACAGTAGGTGCCGTAGAGAGTATCAACATAGTACCAATATGTTAAATAGTTTTAAATACTTTTTCGCGAATTGTGCACTTCTGGCACCAGTTTTAAAAAGAAAATGAAAAATAATAATGTCAAAATGAATAACAACGATATCTTCATATTTCACGAAGGTGGCCCTTTTCCTTTAAATTTTTATTCCTTTTGCATAGCTGTGCATTTTAAAAGGAACTGTCTAAATAAAAGTTATTTAGTTTTTGTTATTCTTCAAAAGCTATGCTGTTTATCATCAATTTTGGACACCTTGGCTAAATAGTTGAATACTCCTCCTAGCTAGATCTGCTAACGCCTCAAACTCTTAAAACGATGGTATATGAAACACTACCTTCCTAGCATTTTTTATCTCATACAACTGCAAATTTGGTGCTGAATATGTTTTTATGTTTTCAGATAGCTCGTGAACTGCCAGAAGCACCTTCAAGATTCATCACTCTTCAATCTAGTCTAAACACTCATCAGTCTCTTCATTCTCATCCATCTATCAGTTCATCCCACATCAGCTCTCACATCATTCCTCATTAGATCAGTCTGCCTGTGACGTCACGTCATGTCTCCACCACTCTCCAGCCTGTCGTCATTATGTTCCCGCTGCTTCCGGACCCAAAACCACCTGGTTCGTACTGCTCGCGCACTAGCCAAGGGACATCCTCCTTTTCCGGCACGGCTAGTTCACCGCGCCGCCGCCAGAGGCGCCACCGGCGGCAGCTCGGCGGAGTTTGATAGTTTCGGAGCGTGGGATTCGAGAATGGAGCTGGAACTTTCGTCCAGCATTAAACACGGCAAGCCGATACCCAGGGTAGATGCGGCGAGCGTCGGAATTTCGAGCCTGCAGGTGAGCACTGCGAGTGAGTTTTAGTGTGATTTTTTTTTTGTCATTCTACATTCTGCTCATTCATTCTACTCAAGACATGACCCCACTCCACTCTATTACCGTTCTGTCCCGTACGGGACAAGACGATTCCATTGATGATTTTGTATTGCCCCGGTAACGCATTTCATCTCGCTCCATTTCTCTAACTCATTCCCGTTGAAGCGTGTCGTTCTCATTCCCCCTTTCACCATCCCATTCCCGCTCCATCTCATTAAAGCGTGTCGCTGTCGTTCTCAGTTCCACTAACCTTCACTTCTCGCTCCATTCCATTAACGCTTACCGTACTCGATCACTCATTCCACGAACCCCGCTCCATACCATTAACACGTGCCGTTCTCGTTCCCCATTCCATTAACCCGTCTGTCCGTTTCCAGGGCCGGCGCCGGTACCAGGAGGACCGCTGCGTCGTGGCGGACGTCTCGCCTGATGTACTGTTGGCCGCCATCATGGATGGACATGGAGGGGACGGCTGTAGCCAGTTCTGCAGCAAGTTATTGGCGTCAGTTGTAGCGGTAAGTGGGGGTAAGGCGGGAGGAGATTTGTGGTCAGATTTCTGGGTGAAGTTGAGGTTTAGACTTTAATTTGAGGTCAGAGTGAGGTTAGAGTGACTTTAAGTTTAGAGCATGCTTAGACTGAATACTGAGTTGTGGCTTGTGGCCTGTGAGGTCAATGTCTTTTAGTGCTCTGTGTTATCTCTGTCTATATCTCTCTCTCCCTCCTGTCATTCTCTCCCTCCCCCCTCTCTCTCTCCCTCTCCCTCTCCCTCTCCCTCTCCCTCCCTCCCTCCCTCTCTCCCTCCCTCCCTCTCTTTCTCTCTCACTCTCTCACACTTTTGCACTCTCCACAGGCTCAGCTATCAGCAGGAGAGAGGGACCTGATGGCAGTACTGCAGGAGACTTTCCAGACCCTCAACAGGCAGTTTGCAGAGGAGTGGGAGAGGCAGAGTGGCGCAGCAGGTGAGAGGGGAGAGAGGGAGGGAAGGAGGGAGAAGGAGGGAGGAGAAAGAATGATAGAAAGATAGAGTGAGCAGCGGAGGCAAACGAAAGAAGGAAGAAATGAGATATAAAGAAATCGGTAGGCTGAAGGAATGGAGGCAGAGTTATAGGAAATGGGGCAAAGGGAGGGAAAGGTAGAGGCCAAAAGGGAAGAGAGGAAAGAAATGAGAGCTGGAGGACGGGGGGGGGGAAGGAAGGCAGAGCGAGAGAGGGAGGAAGCTGAGTTGGTCAGGCAGAGATGCTGTGATATATGCTGGATGTGGGGCGGTGGTCGCTTCTGGATGTGGGAGGGGAGAGCTTCTGCCAGGGCTGCGGAGTCGATAGATTTTCGGTGACTTCGACTCCGACTCCGGATTCCAAAATCGACTCCGACTCCGACTCCGGCATCCAAAAACCAACTCTGTCGCCGACTTCGGATAGAATTGTCGACTACGATAATAACCAGGTCTGCGGAGTGGATGGATTTTCGGTGACTCCGACTCCGACTCCGGATTCCAAAATCGACTCCGACTCCGACTCCGATTAGAACTGACTCCGCAGCACTGGCTACTACATACTGGGGCTCTTTTCTGGGCGGGTTTGACTATAATTCTGGATAGAGAAGTGTTATCAAGGATAAGAAGGACTCTTGGTCCTGTGTCACATCCCACCAGTGATGCTGGTATGCAATGACGGTCGTCGTGTCAATATCTGTTGGGATGGGCTGCTGTGCTGGGCTGCCATACGCTGGGTTGGCTTTGGACTGTGTCATTGGCACTGCTGTACCGCGAGTGCAACAGTTTGCTTGCAGTAACTTAGTAAGCTGAATACGTCCCTTGAATACGCTCCTCGACTTTTCGGCCGCCCTCGATTCGGTGCTTGTTTTTTTTTTTTTTGTTGTTGTTGGGAATTAGGCCCTTTCGGTTTGACGACCATTTCAGAGCCGGGATAATGATAGGATATAGGTGGAGACATTGGTCTGGGCAGGCACCCTAGCGAGTCACCGGGGCTGAGCCCGTCCGAATGGACAGGCCGACCAGCCCCCAAAATACTCACTGCACCCGGCTACGGGGTGCGCTCCCTCGGGAGCAGCGGTGCCGCACCAAGGGAGCAGCCCGCATGAGATAAAGGTGTCTGTCCAGCCCGGAGGGGATTGCGGCGTGGAGGAGAAGGATTTCAGTATCCTGAGAATAGAAGCACGGAACGTTCGACGACGACGGAACGGAAATTCATATGTTTGGTTGGCTCTGGGATGGCTCTGAGGACAGCATCCCATGAGCCCAGCTCCCTTGCCTCTTATCCTACATTCTAGGTAAGAACATTTACCTCTAGGTAAGAAGGATACTGGTAGGACCCATGCTCATCACACCACCCTATCTTACCATGTAATGCGTCTTCGTTATTGTGACATATTCCACCACTGCATTGTTTTATGACATCTCGTTCCCTCTTCACAGACAGTCCCGGTACGACGGTCACAGTCTGCCTGCTCCGATTGGGAGCCGAACTGGTTATAGGCCATGTGGGCGACAGCAGAGCCATCTTGTGTCGAGACGGAGAAGCTCGGAAACTGACCACCGACCACTCGGCGGCGCTGCTATCGGAAAAGGTGAGAGAAGCGAGAGGGAGAGAGAAGGGAGAAGAAAAAGGGAGGGAGAGATGATAGAGAAGGGTAGGAGGCTAAAGGATATGTAAGGGGGAAGGCAGGATGATGGAGGGTTAGAAAAGGGTGTGAGAGGGGAGGAGGGAGATAGGGTTAAAGGAAGAGCACAGAGAAGAGAAAGAGGGAAGGAGAAGGTTGGAGGAATAAGGGCAGAAGCCAAGGGAAGAGAGAAGGCTAGCCGGGAGGGAGGGATAGGATCGAGGGTTAGGGGAGAGGGGTGGAGGGGGAGAGAGGCTGTTATCACTATTGGGTCAGCATTGTTCAGCCTATTGGTTTAATTTCGATCTAAAGGAGTGATGTCTTAGGAAATTTTATTTAAGGTTATTCCATAGGCCTAACATTGGCCTCGCTAGACTACTAGACGCTGGCCGGGCGCTTCAGTCAGCTGTTTCCGTGGTGTAGTGGTTATCACATCCGCCTAACACGCGGAAGGTCCCCGGTTCGATCCCGGGCGGAAACAGTCCTTTTTGCCCCCTCCCCCTCCGTTGTCCCACTCGTGCCATGCAGTAAGCTGTTGATCAGCTTTTCGCTCTTTCCTTGCTGTCTTTAAAAACGTATCCTTCATGAACAACATTCTCTACAATTGTCATGTCGAGCCAATGTCGCAGATCACATTTATCATATTGCACTCAGACTTTTCGAGCTCTGTACATTTCAACCCCTATCTATTGTGTTGTGAATCCTTTTCACTTACGATACCTATTACGATCCCCATTACCACGTGACCGTTTCTCACAGCGCCGGGTGGAGGCGTCGGGTGGTCACGTGACTGTTGATGAAGTTGGTCGTCACATGGTGAACGGTAGACTGGCGATGACCAGAAGTATCGGCGATCTTCATCTGAAACGGTCCGGGGTGACCGCTTTCCCCGATACCAGGTCACTGGAGGTCAGTAGAAAAGGTCACTGGAGGTCAGTAGAGCTAGGTGTATCTAGAGATCAGGTTGCAAGGTCACCTGAGACTATTGAGTTCAGCATAGTAGGTCACTTGAGATAAGTAGATGAAATACATTTGTATTGGGTTTCTAGGTCAATATACATACAACATCACCCTAGGTCAGTATACAAATACCTTGCCTGGCCCTGGCTTTGCCACTATGCTATCTACTTGACCTTATGACCCAGTTCTATGTATATGTCTTCATGATCCTGAGCTGACTTTGTTTTTACTGATTTTGTTGCCACATTTTGCGTTATTGTGTTCCTTTCCGCCTTTCTCTTGCGTTATGTTTCGTTGTTTGTAGTTCCTTTTTATCACGCTTTCCCCTGTTCTATATCCTCAGATAAAGCACGGCCGTGACGCCTTTTTTCTGTCGTGGAACTTATACTTTACTTTTATATGACCTTATCATCTGAACCTAACCCAATGATCCTCATGTGTCTTGTGACCATAACAAAATATGGCTCTCTGATTCTAATCCATTTCCCCTGCTTCAATTCCCACCATCATATGCTTTCTGCTTTTCTTCTTACTATATCACCTTCCCTTATTTCTCTCATGTTTTGATCTTTTGTGATGACTCGTGTGCACGTTCATTTCTTCATTATGACGTTTTCCCTGTTCATATCCTTAGGTAAAGCACGGCAGGGATGCCTTTCTGGTGCTCACCTCGGACGGTATAAATCACGTGATGAGTGACCAGGAGATATGTGACGTCATTAGGGGCAGCCGCAGCCCGCCAGAGGGAGCCGCACAGCTTACCGATCAGGTGGGAAGTGACGTCATTTTGACGTCATTAGGGGCAGCCGCAGCCCGCCAGAGGGAGCCGCACAGCTTACCGATCAGGTGGGAAGTGACGTCATTTTGACGTCATCAGGGGCAGCCGCAGCCCGCCAGAGGGAGCCGCACAGCTTACTGACCAGGTGGGAAGTGACGTCAAATTGACGTCATCAGGGGCAGCCGCAGCCCGCCGTAGGGCGTTGCACAGCTTACCGATCGGGTGGGGAGTACATAATGTGACGTCATATTGACGCCACTAGGGTGGGATTCTACCTGGATGAGATTAGGTCCAGTTTATTTAAGTGATTTACTTTTTCATTTACGGCACTGTAACAATCTTTTTTATGTGTTAACTTTATAGGATGGCATATTTAATTTCCAGTCCCAAATTTGGAATGGGTTTTCATTGGGTCTTTACCTGGCCTGCCCTGGCCCTCCTGTGAAAGAAGCCCTTCTCATGACTCTCTCTCTCTCTCTCTCTCTCTCTCTCTCCCTCTCTCTCTCTCTCTCTCTCTCTCTCTCTCTTTCCCTCTCCCTCTCCCTCTCCCTCTCTCCCCTCCCCCCTCTCCCTCTCTTTCTCTCTCTCTCTCTCTCTCTCTCTCTCTCTCTCTCTCTCTCTCTCCCTCTCCCTCCCTCCCTCCCTCCCTCCCTCCCTCCCTCCCTCCCTTCCTCCCTTCCTCCCCGGGCTCCCTCTCTAACTCTCCCTCTCTCCCCCACAGGCTCTCTCGTACTCTGCTGACGACAACATCTCCTGCGTGGTGGTACCGTTCGGTTCCTGGGGGAAATTCACCGACGATGCCAGCATCTTCATCAACTTTGGCAAGACCATGTCGACCAGCAGCCGATTCAGCTGAGAGAGCTGGCTGGGAGTCTGTGGAGTTTGTCACTTGGAGGATTCCCTGTCGTCGTCACTGCGTTTGGAGCGTGGCGTCGACTTTTGGATATACAGGTAGAGAAGTACGTAAACATTTTCATCTACAGAGGCCTGTTTCACTAAAAACTTGCAATTACAAGTGCTTAGTTGTAGTTTACAATTCATAAGTATTTTTACCAACTACGTAAAAACCGATTTCACTAAGCTTCATCGCCAGTGGCAACTCCGATAGGAAAATGTTTGCAAATAAACTTGTAAACAGTAAAATTGTTTTTAATCAAGAACTATCGCATGTTAAAGATATTGCTTCTTTTTATCAAATTTTGTCTAGTATTCATGCCAAAAGCTGCCTAATTAAATTACAAATAATGATGCTGTTGGAAAAAGATGCAAATGATAGTTCACATTATCCTATTATTGAAAGAAAATAACACGCAAAGCATTTGACAGCAGAAGACTGTTGAATGCAATTATGGCGCGCGAATGACAAAACATGACGATATTTTAATACCGATTATTTTGCTTCTTAGGGTGTGTACTAAGCGAAAAAGGAGCATGAAACGACTCAACAAAGCATAGTTGTTCTAAATATATGACTGTTTTGCATTATTGCACAAAAAGTATCAATATTCCGAACGTCAGGACCACTGGAATTTCAGGTTTGTAATTACGATGTTTTCTTTCAAGTTTCTGGTCTTCGTGAAACAGAAAGTTTGCGATTCCCATGTTTTCTAACAAACTTTTTCTTGTAAAAAAGTTTGCAAATTTTAAACTCAAAATTCATGTTCAAAGGTTTCGTGAAATCCAAATCTCAAATGTTGGTAATTATTTCTTGCAAACTCAAGCTTTTTTTGTAATTACAAGTTTTATTTGTTAGTGAAACAGGTCTCTTATTTAACGTAAACATGGGTATTTAGTAGACAGTGGGTTACCCTAGACTAGCTCCATACGTATATGAAAGTTTTGTCTAAAATCGATTTATTTTGGCAGTCTGTCTCTTGTGTCGGAGCCTTCGACAATTCCTCAGCCTCTGTTAGTGTGATGTGTCCCCATGTGAAATTCCCTAGATGGCCTCATATGTTAATATAGCATACTGGCGGCCGAGTTGCCTTCTTTTTGGTCATAATTCTTCTTTGTGATGTAATGATCGTTAAATGCTACGCAATGACCCAAATTTGTCGTAGTCGATATCTTAATGCTGTATCTTCTTGTGAATTTACTCCCGAATACGCTGTATTTTCAGATATGACGGCAAACTTCGCACCACTTTGGACTCCGCAGAAATAGCCTCTACCGTGAGTGTCAAACCGCATCTATAGCCTCTACGCAGCCTTCGATATTAGCCTTACTACCAGTGACTCTCTCCATAGCCTCTACGCAGTCTCAGCCGCCAGCATTTCTCCATAGCCTCTACGCAGTCTCAACCGCCAGCATTTCTTCGTAGCCTCTACGCAGTCTCAACCGCCAGCATTTATCCATAGCCTCTACGCAGTCTCAACCGCCCGCACTTCTTGTAGCCTCTGCGCAGTCTTCGACGGTAGTGAACTGCCTGATTCTTTCGTCGAAGCCTCTGCTTGGGGTGTTGTTATGTCTCACGATGGAGCAACGGTCTTAGTGTTTGTTTTGTGATATAACTATGTAAGGTCTGTAAGTGTATATGTAAGAAGAAGGGAAAGGGGCGAGTGGTTGAACTGTCGTCAAAACCTGCTCCTGACACAGTGGAGTATGCAGCTGGACGTCTTTTGGTCTAAGTTGGTATACACTTTATTATTTCTGTATTGATTCAGCCTATATTAATTAAGAACGGATTTTTTTTTGTCATCTACATGGAAGGATTTTGTTATTTACGATTTACATGTATATTCCCTTAAGAGCTCATTGAAAGCTTAAATTTGTACAACATGCTCCCAACGCATTCACAACTGAAGCCAATCAGTCTAATACGGACAATTTTATCGGGGAAAAATAATATCAACAAAAAGCGCATGCTGCTTTCACATATAACTATTTTGTTGGATATATTAGAACCACAACTGCACGCATTTTAAAGAAAATATCTGCCATTATGCTAATTTGTTGATAGAAAAACAGGACATGAGTTCGTGGCTTCCAGCAAACTTGCGAGCAAGAGTTTTGTCAGAGCCATTCATAAACAGATGTTTTGTGGCGTCGGCGAGTGCAATTACCTACTGAGAAAGCGAACACGGAACGCAAGCTGTATAGCTAGTCTAAGTTTATGTTAATGTCATGTCTTTCTTTATACATATGTCATTATTATTTCACCTTTGACCGTTTGTGAACCCGTGTTGCTTTTTGGGCCGGATGATATTGCTCTATGTGAACGCAGATGATAATGTAGATCAATAGGACGCATTAATGCCTGTAATATTTGCAGGCTACGTAGTTCGTACTATAGCACATGTCTTTGTGATATCAGATATGCTAGAATACCAGTGCATTGTTTTGTAGGGTTAAATCAAGTCATGGCCATATGTAGAATCAGGGCAAGGAATGGTATGGCGAGAAAAAGTCAGAATTCAGGAAAATTCAGGATTAAGGAGAGGTAATCAAGAGTCAAGGCTCAGGAGGGGTTTGAGGATTTATAAAGCCCCAAGGAACAAGAGGGGTTTGGAATCATAAATCAAAACATGAGCATTCGTACCATATATGTGGTAACTACAACCGTTTATGAAGTGTTTGGTAACGTAAAACGGCTGGATTGAATGACATTATGTCACACGCTGAACGTCTTATTGCCTTATGCAGGTGGCAGTGTTTTGCTATGAGAGTTCGTGACGTCATATGTCTGACGTCACACATAAGCGTAAGCGAAACGCCATGGTAATGCTCAGCTATCGGTGGCTTCACTGTATTGATGTGCCCTTGACGGTGACGCTCGAGTTATAGATACAGCGCCCCTATAGTGATATAAGTCCGATCTGCTGCTATAGTTGACGGGTGAATGTTGCTGCTGTTTTTCCGAGCAGGGTCATATGCGCTGTGTATACGATTACGGGATGTGTACCTATGGTTTTATTTTGTATATGATCCGAACGCTTTATGTGAATATACGCACAGCTCGCCCTTGGTTATTTTCAGGAAAAAAAAAATATCTATGCATATCTGCCGTTATTGATGAAGTCTTGAGTTGACGTCAAGTGCCGCTGAACATTTTGCTACGAATATTAGCATTACGGTGAATTCACCCTTTTATGCAATCGTAGGCGTAGACTTTCTGTTTGGTACAGTACAGATTACGGCAAACCCTCGGTCGTGCAACCATTATATCGACACCTTTTTTTAAACCCCACATTTGTCCTCCCGTGAAGTTCAGACAAGTTGTTTAGAAACCTTCAAAAAAGGTACAGTCACTCGATTTTTCTCAAGTTTGTCTGTCTTGGCAGATCAAGCAATGCCAGAGCAAGCTTACGAACACACAAATTTGATCAGGATCGGACGATTGGACACTCCTAAAAAGAGATATTTCGTGCTTCCCGGAAATTCACAGGAGAACAGATGTGGGGTTTAAAAAAAAGGTGTCGATATGCTCTGATACGATAGCAAGAGCGTTGCCCGTGGAGTTGATTGTCCGCCGGCACAGTCTACATTCAGGCGCTTACTAGTAATGCCATCTGTGGACGGGAGTGAGAACTAAAACGCCGCGCCGTGCGGTACAGGCTACGTTCAGGCGCGTACTGGTGCTGCTGTCTATCGGCCGCGGTTGGAACTAGAAAGTGCGGTGCAGTGTGAGTTCGGGCGATAGATGGTGCTGCCATCTGTGAACGGGAAGAATAACTGCAATGCCTTGCGGTGCAGTTTCACTACAGGCGCTGATGGTCCTGCCATCTATGGACGGTGAATAGAACTTTCTGGTCATGCGGCATATACACTAGAGATGCCACAAATTTGCAATTTCATTACCCGCCCCGCCCCGCAGCTACCTCTTGCCCAACCACAACTACCCGCAAGCTGATTTTGGCTGAGCCGAACCCGCAAAAAACCCGCAATTTTAAAAACCTGCTTTTGCAAGAAAAAAATGCAGCTGGGTCAATGCTAGAGCTATATAAACCTTACTTGCTTCATTGCAGCAGAAAAGAGCCAAACAAATAGTAAGGACTTGAAATTGCTGTTTTGCATAAAAAAATAAAAAAATGAAATTTATAGGTTATAAAGTCTGACCGCCAAATACCCGCCACACGACAAGTTTTGCTTCTCGAACCCGCCAAAAACCCTGCGGGTTTTGAAAACCCGCAGAAAGCGGGTTCGCGGGTCCAAAAGTGGCATCTCTAATATACACTTATGGCTTATGGGTTACGGACAAAAGTACGTGTACTTTAGCGATACGTACTTTAGTCCTAAAATCTACACTTATACAGCTGCTTCATTAGATGCGCTTGACTGTGGTGACATCTACGGACGAAATATTGGAGCCGCATAGGATTGCGGTGCAGTATCTTTTCAGGCGTTTGCGAATAAAGAAAGTTTTGAGTTGAAGTACGAATGAAATAAAATGCGCTCTGACCCTGTGAACTAGAATACCTATTGCCTACAGGTATAGGCTGGTGAGCCAATACTCTGCATTCACGAACTATGCAATATTTCACATTGAGCTATAATAATTGAAATTATGCTACACGTTATAATAGTAAATAGTAATGCCGCGGCCTCAAGACTCAAGAGCTCTATGAGCGTGCAGAACTAAATTAGTTGTCTTTCTGACAGCCCGTTTTATATCAATCATCAATATCATACTTACATCTTCTAGCATAGCCTCTACCTGGGGCAAATCAATTACCCAACTCTGGTCCACATTCACCCATATAATGAACGCTAGCTCGCTATTATACTTCCCGAGTATGGTGCTGTATCTCCTCCTCCTTCATGCGTCGCGCAGACCGCGCGGCGGCCGGTATCGTCTGACCCCTTGACCTTTCAAGGTCACGCCTGGCCGGCGGGCTCAGCTGAGCGGCCGGCCGCAACAGCTGAGTGACTTGGCGACAGCAGAGCACTGCGGCTGAAGTCGTGACGGTGAAAACAGGGCGCCTGGGGCGATTTGATCAAGGCTCTTGGAATTCACTCGCACAAACCACGTGACAACCACCGTGTAGAAGGCGTTGAGAGGGGGAGAATTTCTTAATAGTCACGTGACCAAATATGCCCTTCGGCGCCCTGTTTTCATCGGCGTCCGGCTGGAGTCGCGACTAGGCAGGCGAACAGACCGTATTATTTATCACTTGACTTCTCCTTGATCTTGGTTTATTTTTGAGTTATTTTGGTGTGTTGATTTGTATGAGCTAACATACAACATCGGGGCACCTCACATAGAGTTACGTTAGTTCACGTCACGTAGACTCTAACCGGAGCACGTTAAACATTCTGACCTCTATAATTCTCTATGTAGCTTCTGCGTGGGCGTGCGTAGCTTCTACCTCAAACATCCAGACCTCCAGGTATCTACAAGTAGCTTCTACGTGGGATACCTCCGAAACTCAAACATCTAGAATTTCACTCGCATGGTCTCAACCCGAGAATCTAAAGCACCCACACCGTCAGCTTTACACATAGCCTTTACGCGGGTCACGTCAAACGCCCGGACCTCCAGGGAGCAGTTTATTGAAGCATTACTCTCACTATTTCGGGCAACAGAAGCAGCTTCAGTTACCGAGCGCTCGGCCTGCCACCTAGCGGCGCGATCGACGCGACATCTACAGCCAAAACTCTGAAACTGCTCGGTCAACGAACGCTGGCAGAGATGGACGAAAACAAAACAACGCGTAACGGACTTGAGTCTAGAAGTAAGCGGTTTTAGGACACAAAACAGCCATGTTTGGATACAGATAATGCTAGCGGCATTCAAAATTCCCTATTCTTGCGTCAGTTACGCGTTATTTTGTAATCGTCTTACAAAAATGAGACAATACGGACGGTTCGGTAAACCGGCGCAACACTCCGCTATGGGTCACAGGTGACCTTGACCCAGGCCAGGTCAAGGTCGTTGAAGTCCAGGTGTGTGGTTGTATCTGTTCGAACATGGCGCGACGTTTCTAGTCACAGTCACTCGAACATCACTGTTGTGTTAATCGCTATGGCTTAAACTAGGGGGATCGGCGGTCGGCGGCGCCACTCGTGCCACCTATCGGCGTCTGAGTGAACTACGAGTACCGCCCGCCGCCGCTGGGTCTGGTAGGCTAAGGGGAATCAGTCTGTTTCCGTCCATCCAAGGTCAACACTGCTGCTATGTTACGACTCCAATTCCTACCTGACATCCAAACATAACAAACCCTATCCGCTCGGCGAGATATCTGCCGGCCAGTCAGACAACTACAAGTCCCGCCGCCGGCCGCAGGGCGGCAGCACCGTCGCACAGTACGGTAAATATCACAGACTTTCCAACGTCGGCGCGCGCGAGTGTTTGAACGGGGCACTTCTCGCTTGCTCTAAACACGACCAGCTGTTTGCCAAGATGGCCGCCTTCTTCCCAATCCTATCACATTTCTTCCCTGAATTGGCAGGCTGCCAACATCACACAGTGCTACCAAAGGGGGGCCGAGAGGGAATGAAGATAAACATGGTGGCTTTAAGATAAAATGAATCAATTATGTTCGTGGGTAGAATCAATTGTGTTTACAAAATAAGAAAATAAAAGGGGCACAATACCATGAACTTCACTGATACGAAGAAAGATGAAATCAAAGAAAGATGAAATGCTAAAACGACAGGAGCCTACCAACTATCGAAGCATTGCCAAGCTGTTTCGTATTTTTAAGCCTCAATTATTGATTTGGTCGGATTTTTCCCGACAAATGAAATGAATTAACTATTCATCTGATGCCATATCAAACTTATTCAGTCCCATTCAGCATCGCAAGCAACTAACAGAACTTTCATCAGCTTGATGGAACTCTTCCCGTCCTTGTAGTCAAGGCGTGTATTTTTTTCTGAAACGTGAACTAATGCTCACCACTGAAGCAAGTTGAAATTGTTCTGGAGTTTCATAAGAGTAGTTTCTGGCGTTCAAACTGTGGTTCCGGGTCTCAAAGTCTGGTTTTATACAGCGCCGAGACACAAATTAGAGTAGCAATGACATAAATGTCGCACGGTGTTGCTTTAAAACTATTTGAAGCTAATCTTGGCAATGTCATTCGTTGATTTTGCGGTCGCTGTTCAATTTTTTTTCTGTTTTACCTACCGCATCAAACTTTGTAAAAAATAACTGCAAAAGTGCATTTTCTAGGAAATGTCCAAATTGAAGGTGAAACTCAAGTTGCGCTACTGCAAATTTTCTACATTTTGTCATGTTTCGCAACTATTTTGCCTTTTGAGGAAGACTTAAACGTTCCACCTAATACGAGATTCTATACATTTGTTTTTAATCGTACACATAATTTCCAATACTCAGAAGTTTGAGCTAATATGCTTATCAATAAACGCCAAGAAATTGCAGTGCTGTTGTTTTCCTATTAGAATGATAATCCTTCTGCCTTTTTAAACCAAGCTTCTGCGGCGTTGAGACTTGCTTGTTCTTTGGGCGGGGGGAGGGGGAGATTTTTCTTTATGGCAATCCTCAAGTTTTATTGGTTTTATTTTGAATCATCTTAGCCACTTCAGTCTTCAATAATTAACACAAAGCTCTCTCCCGTTGGCAAACATCCCAAATCAAACATTTCACTCCGATCTATTTAAATGTTAAATCCCATCATTTAAATGTATTTAAAATCTATACCAAAGCAGCAATAAAATCCAACTGTGAAGATCACAGCGTATTCAAAAAATTAATATGCTGTTTCAATAATGTTAATTTATCTTATAAGGATTTTAGAACCATCTAGAAAAGAATGAAAATTGATTACAACCAGACTGATATGCCCCGTTTTCTGGTTAGTGTTTAGTGCATTTGATGGCTAATAACCAGAAAAGAAATCAAGTTTGTCTGTAAATTCAGGTTGTTCTAATTAAGAGGTTTTAACAAGCAATCACACTTTTACTTGAATCACAAAAAAAAATGTTGTTAAGGGGTATTTCCTG